CAAACGATCTTACAATGGCACGCTACTTCGATGCCTTCATCAAGATGAGGCCGAGGTCGCAATGGAGGAAGTGCACAGTGGCACTTGCTTAGCTCACCAGGGACCCTTCTCCATGTCCTGAAGGCTCATTCTCCAGGGCTACTTCTGGCCAACCATGGTCAGAGATTGTGCTGACCTTGCCCGGAGGTACACCACATGTCAACATTTCCAGAAAACCCCCGACAGGCCAGCGGCCAACTATGCCCCCATCAGCACATCTGTCCCTTTTTCTCGATGGGGGATAGACCTTGTGGGCCCTCTGCCGAGGGGTACCTCCAACAACAGGTACATCATTGTGGCCGTCGACTACTTTACCAAGTGGGTGGAGGCTGAACCCCTCGCCAGCATCACAGAGGCGAAGTGCCGTCACTTCGTCCTCAAGAACATCCTCACAAGGTTTGGCGTCCCCCAGCAGATCATCTCCAACAATGGGACACAATTTGAGGCAGCCCCCTTCTGTGCCCTTCTGGAGGCATGGGGCATCAAACACACCTTCTCCTCCGTTGCCTACCCTCAAGGCAACGGGCAAGTAGAGAATGCCAACCGGACCTTGCTCGAGGGCCTCAAAAAGAAGCTGGAGGCCGAGGGCGGTGGCTGGGTAGAAGAACTCCACAACATCCTTTGGGCCTACCGCACCAACCCTCGGCGAGCAACAGGTGAAACACTCTTCTCCCTCTGCTACGGTTTTGAAGCCAAAGCTCCTACGGAAGTCACCCTTCCCACCCGAAGGGTGATCCAGTATGACCCCGAGGTCAACGACAGCAACATGGCTCTCGACCTCCACCTCATTTCAGAACGCCGGGAGCAGGCCTTCATCCGGGCAGAAAATTATCGAAGGCAAGTCAAAAGCTACATCGATGCCAAAGTTCGCACCCGAGAATTTCAAGTGGGAGACTACGTCCTCCGGAGGAGGGAAGCCAGCCAACCAACCGAGGGAGGAAAAATGGCACCAAAATTCGAAGGCCCCTACATCATAGCAGCCATCATCAAACCTGGGACTTACAAGCTAAAACGCCCTAACGGGAAAGAGGTCCCTAGGCACTGGAATGTACACCATTTAGTTAAATTTTACCAATAATGTAAGAGCGGCCAAGCCCTCATAACTAATGAATGTACTACCCTTTGGCCCGAGGCCTCCACTTTTGAGGAATGAAGACACATTCGAAACGCCAAGCCCTCATACTGACTACAGGCCCCAGGCCTCACCACGAGAAGAACCACCTCCGGCACCAAGTGCCGAGGGCGGACACCATCAACACCTGCAACAACAGGAGAACACCTAGTGTTTTCACACGAGACCCCTCGGTACCAAGTACCGAGGGAGGGAACTCCTATCACCAACAACAAAGAACACCAAGTGTTCCTACAGAAGACCCTTCGGCACCCAGTGCCGAGGGTACACCCCATCATCAAACATCGAAAAAGAAGAAAAGCACCCAATGTTTCAAAGAAGACCCCTCGGCACCCAGTGCCAGGGATATGCTCTCCTACCAGCTTCCAAACATCTGTTGGGAAACACCAAGTGTTTCCTCCGAGGGCCCCTCCGGCACCAAACACTCCAATCAGAACACCAAGTGTTCCTACAGAAGACCCTTCGGCACCCAGTGCCGAGGGTACACCTCCATCATCAAACATCGAAAAAGAAGAAAAGCACCCAATGTTTCAAAGAAGACCCCTCGGCACCCAGTGCCAGGGATATGCTCTCCTACCAGCTTCCAAACATCTGTTGGGAAACACCAAGTGTTTCCTCCGAGGGCCCCTCCGGCACCAAACACTCCAATCAGAACACCAAGTGTTCCTACAGAAGACCCCTCGGTACCAAGTACCGGGGGGCTACACATCGGAACTAACACCAAGTGTTGTTTTCAAAAGCCGTACCCCACGAGGACGCATATACCGAAGGCGCCACCATCAGTGCCGGCGGCACGTAGTGCCGGCGGCACGTAGTGCCCCCGGCCATTTGCAACTAGTGTGCAAATGAAAACCCTTCCTTGAAACGCTTTCCGCGTCACTACCCCCAGGGTATGATAGGCATGAGAAATGCCCAGGATTCGACTTTCAAAAACGGAATGCTATCCGCGTCATCACCCCAAGGGTATGACAGGCACGAGAAATGCCCAGGATTTGACTTCCAAACCGAAACGCTCCCCGCGCCACCACCCCAAGGGTGTGGCAGGCCACGGACTATGTCTAGCGCCGAGGGGACGACTTTAAAAAATGAGGCGCTTTCCGCGCCATCCCCCAAGGGGAGGCAGGTTACTGACCACCATATCTTGTGCCCAGGAAACGTCCCTCGATCCCCTCGGAACTCGGAAGGTTAACCCGAGGGAGGAGAGCCATTGGTGTATTCTGATGGTCTCCTAATAGGCCCAGCCTTACCAAGAAACCAAGTTTCTTGATGCCTTCCCTTCACCACCAACCACAAAAAAAAGGGGGGTGAAGGGGAGTAGACTCAGCGAGAAATCGAAGAGTACACTCCAACAGATCACAACATGCCGAGGGCTCCCCACGGGAACACCTCCGGTAATTGAAGACTCCTATTTCCCGAAGGATACTACTCAAATAAATATCATCAGGAAACGGCTAAGTCCACTACCTGGTCACCTCCGGTCACAAAAACACCGAAGGCTTCAACAATACAAAGGGACTGGACTATCCAAGGTCCACTAAACGGTACTTCAAACAAACACCGAAGGCATCTGTTATGCACTAATACCGAGGGCCCCTAACCCATTACAAGGGACACAACTGGCTAAGTCAGACTCTACAACTTTTTAAAGTGTATGCCGAGGGCACACACTCCTCATTGGCTTTCTTCACAACAACAGGATTCCACACTTTTCCTAAGTCCACACTTTTGGAAAATGACAGCAACCGGAGGTTAATATGTCACCAGACAACCGAAGGCATCTATTCTGGAAGCCCCCGGGTTTTCTACTCCACTCCACTTCATCAAGGAGAGCCTCCGGGTACACTTACCCAGGAGCGCCCCCGGGTTGTGCCCCACACAGCACATAACAGACGCCTTCGGGATCACTCTTTCAGAAACCCAAGACTTCATATCAGGGCACCCCTCGGGGATCCCCCCTCAGCACTGTAAAAACCGGGTAGCCCCCGGGCCCCCGGGGAGTTGCCTCATTGACGAATAGCCTATGGCACACAGGTAGTGGGAGCCCACGGGTATCTTCACCACCAACTAATCAACAGACAGTGGACCCCCCCGGTAACAACTCCACTGCTGCACTCATCAATCAGGCCCTCGATCCCCAGATTGAGAAGCTCCCCTTCGGCGCCCCCAGGACATCAACAGCAAGCCTTCGGCCAATCAACACATGAGCCCTCAGAAGAAGAAGAGCCTTCGGCATTACCGTTATTCTCCATTTTTGACCAAGGTTTCACATTTTCGATTCATCATTGGGGGAATTCGGTGCACTCTTTTTCCCTCATTAGGATTTTTTCCCACAGGGTTTTTTCTAATGAGGTTTTTAACGAGGCATCCCCCCAAAATGAAACGAAAAGCGTCAGCCTTCGGCCCACAACAGCAACGCAACTACTCTACTCCTTTTCACCACTTTACAAGTGCCTCAAGGAGTGGGGGACTGGAGGACCCCCTCGGGAAAATCATTTAATTACAAAATTAGTGAAATTCCAACAAACGACAAAGCAAGCCCTCAAGTCCCGACATGTGGGTAACTGAGGGACTGCCTTCGGCAGGGACGTAAAAGCAACAACTCCTCACCAACTTAAGAGATCACGACAGGACAACATCAAAGGGCAAGCACAAATTACTCCTTTTCCCTCAAATACCTTTCGGCAAAAGGAGTGAGGGACTCCTGATGGAGTATATGGCCCGGGAACACCCGGCCCACAGACTCCTACTACTCCTTTAGAGGCCCAACGGGCCCAGAAGGCCCAACAGGCCCAAATCATGGCGCCTAGAGTACCAAGCTGCCCACAATACGCACCAGGGGTACCTTCGGCCCCCTAGCCGAAGGCTCCAAACTATCACAGCATGGATATTTCGAACAAACAGAGGAACTGGGAGAAAACGGCGAAAACAGTAGCCCTCGGCACCTGGAGCCCTCGGCACTCAGGGGCCCTCAGCACTAAGAGCCCTCGGCTAGTCCTCTGCAGCCGAGGGCACCTCTCCCGACATGATATCCGCCTCACATGCGTGCAGATCACCGTACCCTGTACAGACGTCCCATCCAACAGCCGCATTAAATGCGGCCACATGCGGCTGCCAACGCCAACCAGTTGAGGTGACCCCTCGGCCAATAGGCGCTTGACACGTGTCCATGTCCGGCATTTATTGCTACTATAAATAGCACCCCATTTCCCCATTTGTAACCACGACATTCATACTGAATACACACTCTCTCTCACTTACTTGTGCTCTGACTTCTCTCTAAGTTATTCCCTGCAATAACCCCTCGGATATATACCCCGGGTAGACTATCCATCAAGAAGCACTAAAGCAAATAAAATTCTAAAGTAAACGAATTAAAGTATCAATAGAGGTACCAAAACTACAGAAGTTCATCAAACTTCACACCAACAATATGTGCATCTTTCCTTTAGAGTCTCTCCCAAGTGGGACTCAGTGCCGAAGACAATCATACGCTTCTTTACTGCTCTGGGTGACAAAACCACATCTCCAACTGCCGATTAGTCAACCCTAACATCTCATAGTTGTACTTGAATTGCTTCAGTTCTAATAAACTAAAAAAAGTCTGATACATAGTAAGTTAACGAGCTCCAACACACTTTACACATAGTACACATGAAATTCACTTTTCTATATACAAGAGTTTGATTTACAATAGCAAGTTTCGTTGAGACATTTTAACGAACAGATTATAGACATTACCAAACCGAAAATTAAACCAACAACTTATCTCATAAACCATCCCAAAGGTAAAGAAATTGAGAAATAATAGCCTGAAAGAGAGAAGATGCACCTTAGACATCGGCAGTAGGCGGTGGAAAATCGGTGGCTATTGACGTGGCGGACTGGTTGATCGGCAGGAATAGTAGCGACGCGAGTAGGCTGGCTGGTTGGCAAGAACAGTAGCGACACAGGCAGACTGGTTGATTGGAGGGAACAGTAGCAACTCTAGTCTCCTCGTTCTCAGCTTCGTCCAAAAATGTCCATTATTTGAATTGCCTCTCTGCTCAGGACGTGTCTTTTCCGAGTTCCGACTTATCATGACTGGAGGTTATGAAACAGGCAGGTTACTCCGCTGGAGAAGACGACCTCAGAATCGCACCACTTCTTTATCGGCAGATTAGTTCTTGGCCTTCCGCTTTTAATATTTCTAGGGTTACATCAAATAAAAATGAAAGATTTTGTAATAATAGTGGATGAAGAACATATATGGAATGTCACTTATATTATTTTAGAAATACCGCACACTTGACATAACTTTTCCGAAATAATAAAAAGCACCCCATTTTTCATCTTCAACAGCGGCTCTATTCAGGACCGTTACGAATAACTTCTATTATTTATAATCTAAGCCTTTGTATGGACACAAAACTTTAATGATTTATAAATTTACCCCGCGTCAACATTTCATACCGGTTGGTTATAACCCCATATTAAATGTCTGTTATAGAATGTATTTTTCGTACTAGTGAAGACTCCTTGCTTCATGATTTTATAAACCTTTAGAGTACCACTAGCAGAATGCAATATTTAGAGTCTTTCTGTTAGTCATTTTATAGTAATTTTACACCTGGTCATTCTTGTTGGTCCTTCATCTTTCATCTATGAGTGTTATTAAACACAGTAAATCATTTATTGGCTTCCTTGTATAAATAGGGGTGATTGTTGTTCCATTTGCTAGTGGTGCAAACTTGCCTAAGTTTGAGTTTGATTAGAATGAACATATGAAGGAAAAGAATGCCCGTAGAAAAAGGGATATGGTAGCTTTAATTTCTCCTGTTTATGTCACTTACTGGACCAAGTAAGTTACTTCTAAGATAAGTGAAGTAGTGTCAAATATATGAAAGAAAGAATAATGTTATTCAATTTCTTTTACAGATGGATTGATGAACAATAGAACCGGGCTAATAACTCCCTTGAATATTCTGTGTGAGTGGTCTGTACTTTTGGGCTGGTTTCTCTCTTCAACTACAATGACATTTACTTTTTTGTTATTCAAAAATAAATAATTATACTCATAAATGGTGCATTGTTTATTTATTTTTCTTTAGCATGTTCCTATAAGCCCATAATATGAAATTCAGGAGCTATATTTCTTATTGTCTTTTAGTAGCATACTTTAATCATAAACATTTGCTCCTATATGTCATTGTTTGAACCCATTTGATAGCTATAATCAGCTTATTTTGCTTATCGCGGAATAAGAAACAACTTTTGAATCGTGTTTTTTTTACTGAAGTGGATGTTCTTAAACACTTTCCCTGTTAGAAATTTCAGTAATACTGATATTTGGTTGTAACATGTTCCCCTTTATCTAATCCACATCACCGCATTAGTTACTTCAAACCTGGAAAAAATTATTGATATCCACTTTCATCATGTTGGAGCTGTAGAGAATTGGGGTCCAAGGTCTTGCTAATATGTTCATATTACTTGAAATGACTTTTGATTAACTGGAGGAATTTAGCCATGCAAAATAATTCTTACCAAACAGTGAAACAATATTTGGTTTTTATTCTTGTTTGTGGATGTTAATAGATCTGGAAAAATGTTAGAGTTGGGTCATTACTATTCAGGTGTGCATAGGTATCTTCCGCTCCACATGGATGATCGTGTTAGCGCATGGCAGTGGTATCGAACACCCTATCTGGAATTCTTTTGTACTTCAACTTCCACATTTAAAGGGGATGCAGCCTGGTTTGCTCGATGACAAGGATAGAAGAGTTTGCTGAACAAAGTGTATTGTTTCTCTGCATTATAAGCATGGATAGGTCAATTCTCAGTTGACACTCAGTGTTATTATAATTTTTTCTCCTCTTTTCATGTTTACATTCCACCCCATTTTGTTATATTTCTGTTAAATGCCAAGTCTATAGGAGAAGGCATCCATGATGATGCATAATGTTGTTTTAATGTACATTCTTATGGTGATACTAGTTGAAGAATAATATATTGATATTGACTGCCATGTTTGATGTTGTTGAATGATTCTTTTATTATACCTTACCGAACTATAAATACCTTTAATACAAATGTAATTCATTTAATATTTAAATTTTATTATATACGCAATATATTATTTTCAATTCACTAATGATAAAAATTTATCAATACATAAAAAAAAGTTCCTTCCACACATACATTGAGCATTTACCCATGCTAAACAAGTTTTACTCACACATATATTGAACATTTACTTACAGATAAAAATAACTTTTAGCCACACATAAACAATTTCACATGGCAGCATATGTCAGCTCCACATAATATGCCATGTCAGCGTCATGTAATGTTACACATCAATGCCATGTCATCATACAGATTTTTTAAAGAGAGATAGTCACACATATTATAACTTTTTCCCACACATGAATGTGTGGGTAAAGAGTAAAATATTACCCAAACATAATTACATGTGTGGGTAATAAGTTTTACCTACGGTCTCATACCCACACATCATTACACTTAATATATGTGTCGGTAAATGTTATTTCCTACACATAAGCATACTTTTATCAACACATATGTGCGTGGGTAAAAGTCCTATTTTCTTGTAGTTCTTCGAAGTGTATCTTATATACTGGGAGCGATCTTCCCGTTGAAGTGTAGAAGACAGCTTCAATAAATGCTTGTACTGTTGATTTGAACGGTTGGTTCTTTGACTTGCTATTTTAGGGGCGAAAGGATATCCGCATGGTCAATCATCAGCTTTAAATATCTCATCGTACGTACTGCATTAATTGAGCATTTAATGCGTGTACAGTACCATGTTCCGTTGAGTGACTCCTAGCCGTTAGGGTATTTCCCGTTAGTTTCACGGTCAATGGAAGTTACTTCGAATTTCTTCCAAGTGTTGAGCACTTCTGGTAGAGGCAATAGAGGGCAACTCTGTTGATATCCATTCCTTCCAACTTTGTTGCTTCTGTGGTCTAATAGAGATCCTTGAGGTTCTCTGTCCCGTTGAATATGCTACTACATTACACTTAGAAAAATTTCTAATACAAACATTCTAATGGGGTACTTTAACATTCTAATTTACCTAACATCATTAAAATTTAATTACAATTATTCCTTACAATTTCCCCCTTTTTGATGATGCCAAAACCCTTAAACTATTTCCAGAGAAATGCCTTTCACCATAAAAGAGATAACGTTAAAACTTTTCATTAAACAATCTTGGTGGGAAACTCGGCAGAGGAAAATAGCAAGAGTAAGATACCATTAATGTAAAACAAAGTAAATCAGAGCAAGAAATTAATAAACACACACAAAGGGGTTAGCAGAGATCAAAAGCAGATATAGGGTAAAAATGTCGTTCAAACAGAGAGGCAGAGAAGTTATGTTATTATGCAGATAGAATACAAGGATGTTATGTTACAAATTTTCCCTTGCTGCTGCAGCCATAGCTTGATCTTCCAGTCCTTGTAGCCTTTGCAGCTCTTCATTGATTTCTACTCTTATTGCTGAGAGATTACCAGGACTTTGATAGGAGGCCCAGATAGGAGAGAGTTTGCAGTCCAGGTAGCTGAGAACTCCTTCATGTACCGTCTTGCCAGGGACAATATTTTTCTGGTACCACTGCTCAGCTTCTTCTAAGGATCCACCATGTCTGACTCTTGCATAGCCATCATTATCTAGGTAGATGTTTTGTTGTTGTTTGGGAGTCATCTTTTGCTTCATTTCTTCAAATTGAGTTCTGTCCAGTCTTTGAGACCCACCCACTCTCCAGTTGGTGAAATTTAGGTTCTTCCTTTTCTTGGAACCCTTCTTGTGAGGAGATGAGGTCCTGGTAATAATAGCTGCTTTCTTCTTCTGGATAGCAGATTCAAAGTAGGGTGCAGGGTCCACAGAAGATGATGCTCTGGCTGAAGTCCTGTCAGTTCTTGGCTTGAGTGGTTCAAGTTCCTCTTCCCCCTTTTTGGCACCATGAATATCACCAATCAGCATAGAGAGCTTTTGGAATTATGAAGCTTGGGTAGAGGCAATCTGTTCCAGAGTCTCAGGCAAAGTCTGAGCAACAGAGGTGAGCCCTTCTATCAACCTCTGTTGCTTCTGAATAGCTGAGTAGATATCCTTAGAGCTTGCCTCAAGTAGAACCAGCTTCTGGTATCTGTCTTTGTCAGCAGCAAAGAGAGTTCTGGTTTGATCTCGGTGAACCTTGCATAGTTCCTCAACATCTTGCCATTGCTCCTTAGTCTTGCCATCAGACCATTGGAGAGTGTCAACAACTTCAGAGATCTTGTTAAGGACATCATTTTGGGTGTTGAGGTTCTGACCAAAGGAGTATAAGACAGAACTGATACCATCTACTTTTGTTGCTAGAGCAGCTGTCTTGGCAGTTGATTGTTGCATGAAGTCGTTCAGAGAAGCTTTTAGTGAGGCAAAGTTATCTGATATAAATTGCATACCAGAGTTGAAATTGTCATTCACATGAGATAAGTGTTCATAGTGGCTCTGGTTAATAAGGATAAGCTTGTGCATACCATCAAGCATTTGGTTACCAAAGTCCTCTGCGACTTCAACAAACTTGTTGAAAGGTATCTTTGGTTCTTCATCTTCAAAACTTGGCATCTGCAAGCCCTGTGCCTTAGGCATGGGAGGTTTTCTGCCAGTAGGTTGTTGTACAGAGGGGTTTTTTGAGAAGGTTCCTTTGGAGGTGTGATCCTTATTTTGGATGTGATGTCTCCAGCCAGGGATCAGGTCAGGAAACCATCATTATCACTGTCTGAGGAGATAACGCGGAAGATGGGTTTCCTTTTTGGTTTAGAGGCCAGAGAATGCTGAGAGGATCTCTGGGAATTAGCAGTTCTAGATGGCGACTTCTGCGGTAAAGGAGTTGCAGGATTGGTTTTCTGATGCGAGGAGCTCTTGTGAGGAAAGGTTCCTTGATGACGGGTTCTCTGATGAAGAGGGGTCTTCTAGTTCCCCTTGAGTATCGGCTACCTTCTCAGATACAGAGATTGCAGGTTTGGTGACCTTCTTCTTTTTGTGCTTGATGGGACCCTCAGCATCATTAGAGGTTCTCTTCCTCTTTTGAACTACCTTTTTGGGGTGTACAAGTGCAGCCTTTCTTGTCTCCTTCTTCTTCTTCTCACCTGCAGGTTTATAAGAGGATGGTTTTTGAACTTTCTCCAAGTTCTGCTGTCTCTT